ACAAAGGAGGAGATGGTCTGATAATTCGTGATACCAAAAACTAAGAGAAGAAGAGTAATAACTTAATAACGAACATTTGTTATATGATCTTTAAACACTTTTGGTTTCTTTTGTTTCTTGATGTTTGGGGGTTTCTTCTAAGTTGTTGTTCCAATTCTTGGTCTAAGACGATTTGAGACAATCTGAAACCGTATTATTTCGATGAATTTCTCTCCTCAATGGAATTAGATGAACAAAACGTAGCTAGATCCAAGGATTTTCTTAAAAATCATGTTCATTTTGCAAGTATGTGATGTGTCTTAATTCGAATTTGTTGTCAATTTCGGTTCAATTCGGCACCTATATCACCATAAATGGAACCGAGCCTAACCGAAATTCAATTCGGCATCAGTAACATCAGTACATCACCATAACCCCCAACCGAAAATTCACAACATCGGAACCGAACCGAATTCAATTCGACACCAATAATATCACCATAAACCAAACCGAGACTTATAGCATCAGAACCGAACAAATTTTTTTTTTTTGTCACTGATTGTTTTATATATAGTCGAACCATATTACAATGTCGGACACTAAACAACATAATCCGAAAGTTTACCGGGCAACAAAGCCCGAAAAATTACCGGGAAACATAGCTCCAAAGTTTACGAGTAGACATAGCCCAAAAGATTACCGGAAAACAAGGTATTAAACAACGGATAACTAGAAAACAAATCTACAACTAAACGCCAAGAATCTGAGAAGCAATCACAATCAACGGAGAGCGTGAAAAGAGTCATAGTCGCGGAACTAACAAAACTCACAAGCTGACGACGAGGCTAGAGGAAACCGCAAAGAAATAGACGCAAATGCGATAAATAGCATGATAAAAGAACCACGAACGGGAATCTAAACTCTTACCCACCTAATCATCACTATAAAAAAAACTAAATCTAGAACTTTGCATCCCCACGAACAGAAGGAATGAAGTTATGCTCGGTTTTAATGGGTGGAAATTGTTCCAAACAGAAATTTTGGAATCCGACCCGAATCGGCCGAGGGTTCCGAAAGCCCAGCCCATTATCCTAATATATTTTTCCAATTCGACTGTCGTTTTTGAATCTTATCTTTAACTTTCATGTCATTTTAGTCTCTTTGAAACAGCAGGACTTCAGCCTATAGAATTAGCAAACGTTACAGATTTATCTCAACACTCTCCAAAAGACATGATATTTGGATGCAAATAGTTTTGATTCTTCACCAGCAAATCCGTATCTACGTTCTTTCTTTTGATTCTTCAGAGTATCAGTCTTCGTATGGTCTTCCAACTGTAACCTTACATGGGTTTTAGGCTTCTCCACTTGTAGTTGTCGTTCCAAGAGGAAGGTTTTTTTCGAGCTTGACCATGACTTAGAAAGCTCGCATTTGGGTCTGGAGGAGGAAGATATCTTTTACCAGATATGACGGGAGTGATCTAGATCGTCGTTCTTTGGCCACATACGAAGGATTCTTGTCAACTCGAGCTAGAATATTGCATAGTGAATCATCAACAAAGTTACTGTTACGGATCGCTGAATAAAAAAAAATCCCAATTAAGAAAAAACCCGATTAAGAGAGAGAAAAAAAAATCCAAAGTGTAAAGACATTGCATTTGGATGCCGATAGTTTTGATCCTCACCAGCAAATCTGTATCTAGGTTCTTTCTTCTGATTCTGATCAGATGTGATCGACTTGGATCTAGAAGGGACTGCAAAAAAAACCTAAATCAAATCGAAAAAAAGAAACGAGAGGCGTAAATTAAGAGGGAGTCAAAAGATTTACCTTTCTTTTCTTCATCGATATTCTTCATTTTCGATCAAAGATCATAAAATTCCAAGTTTTCCGCCGGAGAAATCTTCGCTACGTTTCTTGAATTTTTAATGTTTGTGGTTTCTTCTATTGTTGTTCCAATTCTTGGTCTAAGACGATTTGAGACAATCTAAAACCATCTTATTTCAATATAATTTCTCTATTTAGTGCAATTTGATGAACAAAACGTAGCTAGATTCATGGATTTTCTGGAAAATCATGTTTATTTTGCATGTTTTGGTCGAGTTCTAGTATGTGATACTGTGATGTGTCTCGGCTCCAATTTGTTGTTACTTTCGGTTCAATTCGGCACCAATAATATCACCATAAACCGAACCGAAATTCATAACATCGGAACCGAACATAAATTCAATTCGGCACCAATAATATTACCATAAACCGAATCGAAATTATGTTTGGTTTTAACCGGCGGAAAATTTTCCAAACCGAACAACCGAAAATCTTGAATCCGACCCGAACTGGCCGAGAGATCCGAAGGCCCAGCCCATTATCCTAATAGTATATTTTTCCATTTCAACTGTCGTTTTTCAGTCTTCTCTTTAGCTTTTATGTCGTTTTACCTTCTTTTAAAACAACACGATTTCAGTCTATAAAAGTAGCAAACGCCACACATTTATCTCAATACTTTCCAACAAGTACAAATTCGGGCCGTCTCCCTTGTTCAATCTTCTTCTCCGTTTCTCTCTCTGTGTAACCAAAAATGATGCGAAGCTTTGAGGTACACGTCAAAACCCTAGGCGTTCCCGTCCGGTCAGTTCTCTTCTCGATCTTTACCTCTAAGCAGAAACCACCGTCGCTCTCACTGCTTCCATTGCAGCTCCCTTTCCGATCATTGTCAGTGACTCCCTCTCGTTATTTCTCCAATGTCATATCATACTCCAATTCACCGATCCACGGGTTTCGATCAAGCCGAAACTTCGAGTCTCTCTTCACCTTGAGGGCTATTGCTTCTTCTTCTCCCGCCGCTTCGGTTCAGCCGCAGCCGAATCAGCATCCAGGGGAGTATGGTGCAACGGTCCCGTCTTCGGAGGTTGGTGATGGGAATTATGGCGGATTAGAGGAAGAAACCAAGCTTTCTCTTCCTGTACGAGCTTATTTCTTCTCCACTAGGTATGGTGTTCCCCCCTTTTTTACCAGATGGAAATTTGGATCGGATTTGAAGTATGATATCTAAATTTCCATTTATGATGAGTGAATTTCATAGTTGAATGGTTGAAACCATGTATAATTGTCCACCTCTGAGCTTAAACCCTGATGTATTTGCAAATGGGTTTTAGAAATTTGATGAAGTGATCATTGAAGTATTGCTTTTCGTGGATGTGATTGTGTGCAGCGTTGATTTGAGAAGCTTAGTTGAGCAAAACAAGCAGAATTTCATCCCGCCCACTTCGCGTATGACTAACTACGTTGTTCTTAAGTTTGGCAATCATTCTGATCCCACCGTAAGTTGAATGTTACTTTATTTAGTTTATGGAAACTGAGGTACTTGGGTTTACATCAATTTGGCTGGATAATAGTAGCCTCTCATAGTGAAATTTTGATTGGTATCTAATTTTTTGAATCAGAATGTTTTATGGTCTAGGTCTGTCTATCTTTTGATTGGGTTATTCATTGAATTGCTTATCACAACAAGAGGTTGATATTGTTTCAGGATACTGGACCTACTGGTGGTTGCATAAGTGGGAGTGAGTGTATTTACATGGTAGTATTTCAGTATGGATCGATTGTTTTATTTAACGTAAGGGAACACGAGGTTGATGAGTATCTTAAAGTGGTGGAGAGGCATGCTTCTGGTTTGCTTCCTGAAATGAGAAAAGATGGTGAGTCGCACTTCTTATGCTGTGCTCTTCAAAACTTATTGAATGGTGCTTTAGTTTCATATCTTTGGCTCTGTAAAACTGCAGAATACGAAGTAAGAGAGAATCCAACTCTGAACACCTGGATGCAAGGGGGGCTGGATTACATCATGTTGCAGTTTTTGAATATTGATGGCATCAGAACCATAGGCAGTGTTCTTGGCCAGAGTATTGCTCTCGATTACTATGGCCGGCAGGTAACTATTCAGATCCATGTACATGCTCTGGGATGTCAGAAATGAAGTTCACACCAGTAATAACCGTGGGTGAGAAATCTGTTTCTGTTAGGTTGATGATATGGTAGCAGAGTTTACTGACATAAACCGTGGAATGGAGAAAACTGGAACGTTTACAATGGAAAGGAAAAAGCTGTTCCAGCTGGTTGGAAAGGCTAATTCTAATCTAGCTGATGTGATTCTGAAGCTTGGTCTTTTTGAGAGGTAAAGAAATCGAGAGATCGAAGAATCGTTGCCTATCTTGACTAGTTTTGTGGGTAATTTTGGCTGACTCGTGTTTTGGAAAAATTGCAGGTCAGATATAGCTTGGAAAGATGCGAAATATGCTCAGATATGGGAGTATCTGAGAGATGAATTTGAACTGACTCAGAGATTTGCAAGCCTTGATTTTAAGCTGAAGTTTGTAGAGGTAATATTCATCTATACAAATCTTTCTCATGATCTATTTTTTTGCCATTTTGTGAAACAATAGAACTTATTGGTGATTATTTATTTATTTTTTGTGAAATTTTGCAGCACAACATTCGTTTCCTTCAGGAAATTCTTCAGAACAGGAAATCAGATTTTCTTGAATGGCTAATCATTATCCTGATTAGTGCTGAAATCGCGATTTCTTTGTATGATCTGGTCCGGAGATCCTTGTGATCAACCTCTGCCACTTCTGAAGAATATTCTTTATTATGGTTACAGGGAAAACACACTCCTTGTTTCACACTGTAAAGTGATAACAAAGCTCGTAGATCATAGTTTTAAGAATGGGTTTAGACTTTTAGTAGTAGGTTTGTTACAGACTTCGACCGCCAATTTCCATTGGCATTTATGCTCTCTTCATTGCTTATCCGCATTCAAAACAAAACTTGTTACTGCATCTTTGCACTTAATAAAATTAATTTTGTCACTCCATTTTGACTGGGCTCACTCGAGGAAAGGTCAATCTCCTCTGTAGCATGGGGCATAACCACTCATTCGTTCTGATTAAATCTCCTCTGTAGTTCTCAACTAACCCCCAGTGGTTTTCGAAAGATCGGCTAATTTAAAGTTTCGTAGGACTTCATCCAGTCGAGTATCTTTGGAGCTTTCCCATGGGGTGGAGTAATTCATCAATCCCTTAAATTTATTGTTATGCAGTGAGGCAAGCTGAGATTCCATTCAAAGGAAGGGAAAGATGATCCTATGTTGCACCATTTTCGCCTCTTTTCGACATCAAGATGGTGTGTGAGAAAAATGTCTCATCCTTCAATATCACGATTGCGTAGACCAGGCCAGATAATGAGTATATAAAAAAAGCCAACAAAAAAAAAAAACATTGCATAGATCGTCTAGCTGAAAACATGGAAAAATTTCTACCACTTTCAGTCTTTCACAAGGAGTAGCCTTTTAAATGCTAATTGAACATAAAGTTATGGCTTCTGTGCAACCTAGAAAGGATTCTAATCATGTACTGGATTGTTACAACCTCTACCAAATGTTTTGAATTTGATTCTAAAAGCGTTCCCGGAATTGGCTGCCATTCAAAGGAAGGTAAGACGATATAAGAGAAATGCTTTCTAACTAAATATACTTTTAAGTAAAAAAAACGAAAGTTAAAAGCAAAATGTATAAAAAATGAACGAGCTTTGAAAGGTCACGAAATTTTTTTGAAAAAGAAGGTGACGAAATTTAAGTCCATGCAAAATAGTTTTGACCAATACAATCAAATGTCATTCACCAAATAAAGCCCCTAACTAGAATTAGGTCTTAAACAAATGTTTTACAACTCCTCAAAGATCAAACAAGAAGGTAATAATGATATATAAGAAAACTAGAGAGAGACTCCATAGGATGGTGAAAGAGTATTGGAGTATTTGGGAATGTATTTTCGAGCCCAAACATGTTTTCCATTAATGGTGTACTTGGTTCTGCTGATTCCATCACTTACAGTCACAATCTCTGGAATCTTGTCGCTAGAACGTAACACCAACCTTGCATACAGTGCCTGCTCATTCTCTTCCCCTCCAGGCATAAGTACCGCTTCTATAATATCTCCAAATCTCCTTCAACACCAAAACAATTACCATTTAGATATCAAAACCTATGTATTGTATATCTTTCAAGACCGTCTTCTATCATGTGCAAGTGCAAATGCAAGTGCAACTGGAGTATACGAACATAGTCCCAATTTTATTTAAACTGGACTCCTACTATTTATTTTTCAATACATAAACTATATGACTAAGCATCCTTAAAGGGGTATATCCCATAGTATCTAAACAATTAAAAAACAAAAAATATTACAAAAGTAAGAAAGAGAGAAGCGGCTCTACAATACCTA